TTGTCGCATGCGTGGAGGGCCTGGATTGAGGCAGCTCGTCTCGTCGTTTGTGTTTTTGGCAGATGGCGTTTGGGTTGTCGAAAACTTGGTTGTAATTTCCAGGCAATTTTGTTTGGAGCAGGCGCCCCATCAAAAATAACAAGGCGCAGAGAGCAGATCAATCCAAGGGGTAAACAGCAGAGGAAGTGCGCAGACCCCTCTTGGAAGACTGTTTCCATTGTGGAAAGGAGCAAGGCCATTTCACCATTTGGGGTGAAGGGATTATTTGCATAGCCTTCAAACTCCCAAACCTCAACCCATAACACCAAGGCTCTAAAACGTCCCCCCCAGCCCCCATTTCCCTCGCTCGCCTGAGCCCCGCCGCTTCTCGCGGCTCGCGAGGGGCTGCGGCAAAGCTTCTTGGCGCGGCTGCCGGAGCTGCTGGCAGCCTGGCGCCGCGCCGCGCGCTCGGGGAGGGCGACGGGACGCCAGGGACAGTGGGTTTCAGCATTTGTCTTTTTACAGCCCCCACGGGGTGTTTAGATCTTCGTGAATGGAGATTCGGAATTTATCACTCTTGGTTTCCCCTTTTGGCGCATTCCTCTCTTGAATGTGTTTTTTGGCATTTTAATTAAACGTGGGCAAAATTTGCAGTAGACCCTGTTCACGGGTCTATTTTTGGTTTGTTTTCAAATAGGAGAACTCCACTCCCAAATGGTTGGTGTCCTACCAATCTAAGAGGATAAAGGCCCCCTCCGCTTTCAATGTCTTTCCCACAAAGAGGAGATGGGTTACCATAGGATTCCGGGAGCCGGAGTCGCCTGCTCCCCAATTCCATTTTCATGGGGGTGGGGTTGTGGGGTGAGGGTGGTGTTTCGTGTGAGTCGTTTTGACCTTTCATCGGGAGCGAAGTGGTGGTCAGGCCAGCTTTTTAGTTTTTTACAGAACTTGGGTCAACTCATGTTTCGCACGCGTTATCCTATTTTCCATGGTATTCCACCTTACCCCGATGTTGCCCTATTTTCACACGTGTCACTGACTGTGTGTCCAAAAATGTGTGTCACGCACAATCCAGAAGGCTCCGCTTGACGCAAAGCTTCGCATCTGACTTCGGCAAGGAAAACGCCGCCAAAAGCGGCGAAGGCTTTGCGACAATTCGCAGGATCAACATGATCTCCGGCATTTTGAGGTTTGGCTTCCTCCTTGAATGGTTCAGTGGAATAGAACCTTTGACGTACTGCCTCTTGGGCACAAGAAGCCAGGTCTGCCGCTGCGGAAAACTACGGCGGCGGTGCGATCGGCGGCAAGCCCCGGGCTCGATGTGAGCAAGCCGGTGGTTCGCCGAAGTGTCCTTCAATTTATGTTTTGTAGCCTCAGGTGGCGATCGTTTCAATGGAAGCCCGTCGATTGCAACTTGAGAAATCCAGCGAACCCTGGCCAGGGGTAAGCATGGAGCCAGAAGAGATTCAATGCCAAGATCATTTTACACATGGGGCTTCTTTCCGGGTTCGCCAGTTTCTCGAGTGGACAAGGGTTCGCAGGTTTCAATGATTGTGCGACCATGTGACCATCATGTGACCATTTACAATGGCCATATTAATATGTAGCGACCAGCAACAATTCTGGTTAAAGTACCCTTGATACAATTGACGGGTTGTGTTTCGAGATTGGTTTCTTCATCTTCCAAAGGTATTCCGAGACAAGTGCCAGCAAGGTTGGGTCTTGAAATAGGAGAACCCCAATCGATAGTGTAGGGAACATGGATGGCCCCCTTTTATTGTTGGTTGGGTCCCAGCCTACTTTAAGGCACTTCAATCGGTTCAAGACTCATGTAGCTACAAAACGGGGTCGAATCCGTCGCCGAGGGCCTGTGCTGCTGGAAGGTTTACGTGCAGCAGCGCCACTGGGCAAGCGAATTGGGACGGTGATCGCACATAAAAATCTTGCCAGTGGCCGCAAAAGGCTGTCCTTTTGACCTCTTGTCAGAGACATGAAGCAAATTCCAAGGCCCAACAGACAGGTTCAAGACTGCAGCATTGAAGCACAATAAACAACGATCAGGCGCGATCCTAGAACCCAGAATATGCTTATTCAAACCTATATAGCACCTAATTTTGAACCTTGTATGTTTTGGTCCTTTGGGGTCGCACGTGTCACCTTCGTGGTTGGGTGCTTTGAACCCTAACCTCCAACCAACCCCAGCCACCGGTCGGGGGGGAAGTTGAAAGTGGGCAATAAAATTGTAGTCGCCACTGCCGAGGGCCCGATGGGTTGTCATCATCGGTCCTGGGATAGTTTCTCTTCAATCTATTTGGGGGCGACTTTTGGTCACCACAACCTACTTGTATCCTCAGCACAGTGCCTCTCGCCAAAACACACTTGCAACGGCATGCGCACGTGCACAACAAGTGACGAAGTACGCCACTCTTTTGCTGGTATGGGTTTGCCTTTAAATCGCGAAACCCTCCAAACCTGGTGATTTTCTCGAGCTTTCCCTTAAGGGAACCGAACCCCCTAGAGCCTTTGTCCTTTAAACCGCCCTCAAATGGGTTTGTCTTTTTTGGGGGGTGCCCTTTTGTGGTAGGTGTTGAAAGGAAACCAACAGGAAACCCTTTCATTTTGGGGTGCCCCTAACACATCGCACACAGACAAGCACACAAATGGGTACAGACCAGTTCCGCACGTTCAAGCAAGAAAGTCTTCCGAGGCGCCCAGGAGCGGCGCCGGAAGGTCCTGGCGCAGCTGCTGAGCACGCGGCGCTGTTTGCGCCGGGTGCTGCTCCCTTGGCAGCTCTTCGCCGCCGAAGCCGGCGGGAACTCCGAGGCCGGCTTCGGCGGGTCGGTGGCCGGGCTGCGGGCGGTTTGTCAGTGATATTTGCGCTTGATGCATGTGTTTTTTCTTTTTTTAAACACATATACACACAAGCCATGTATGAATACAATCCATCCGAGTTTGTCACCCTGGAAGCTTCCTTGCTTGGGGATGCCAGAGTTCCGGTCTCGGAATGATGTAGTTGGCCTCGAATAGGGGTAGCCACAGGGTTTGCTTCAATTATCAATTTGCAGGCAAATTAAAGTGAGTTTCCCGTAAGTGAACTGGAGAACTAACAGGCAAGGCAGTGAGCAAGGGTTCGTTGCAAAACTGGCAAGTGGATTCGCTGGGATCGTCTGTTCTTTTGATTGAGGATGAAGATGGAACCTCCCAGAAGCGGTCCGATCCCACAGCGGAGGTTCCCCTATGATTAGGTTCAATCACTATCCATTGCGGGGTGACTTTGAGCATGGTACAATCATGGGGCAGCGAGCGCCGCCCGTGGCTTCCCGGTGTCATATGGGGCGACTGGTCAGGAAGTCCCAAAAATTGCCAGCAAATGATCTCTGTGCGTGTTCGTGTATAACGGGCGGGGGGGGGGGGGGGTTCATGAAAGGTCCTATACATGGGATGACCATTGGTTGGAAAACCACTCAAGACTGGGGGCTTCTTGAAGGGAATATGGATCAACCCCCATCTGGGTCTTTAATATGTATGGACCCCCCTTTTTGTAAGTGCAAACCAACATGAACGCCGTCATTTGGGGGTTGTCCGCGATTCTGTCCCGAAAAGAGACACCAGGTGTGTCTGCTTTGACCTGTGCGTTGCCTTTCCCATTTTTGCTTTCGAGGCCCTCGAGCGGCTGCAGGAGCGCTGGGTGGATGCCGAAGTGGTCCCAGGCCCGATATCCGCTGAAACATCCCCGAGGCATGAGGTATTCGGTAATTATGGGTGGGGACATGATTTACGTGGTTGGATTTTGGTCAAGACATGTTCGGGCTGTTCCAACCATGAACAATTCAGAGCTAGGAAAGGAGGGAAGCCATCATGTAAAACCTAAGGGAGGAGCCGAAGGGGATCCCTTGTGATTTCCTTGTGGCGTGACAGTGAATCAGTTGCCCAGTGAGGTCTGCAGCAGATTGGCTTCATGAGATATCGCGGCACCTCAGCGCATGGCTGAGACCCAAGCAGATGCATGTCAAGCTGCCATGCTTCAAAGTGAAAGGCCACCTTTCCATAAGCTGAAGCAGATGGCGCAGGTCTTCTTGGTACCTGGAGTGTGCGAAGCGTCGCTCGCTTGAACAGACACGCAGACGAGTCGCCCAGCGAGCGACTCGATTTCTGGCAGACCCCCGACCCGAGGAAGAGGAAAGGGCGGAAAGCAAGCTGCAAGGAATCTGCAAATGCTACATGCAGATGCTACATGCCGAGAGCATGGCTCGCGTACTATCGTCTGCAGCTGGATTCCTGCGAGCAGCACGGGATGAGCGAGACTGGCTGGAGGAGGGCAACAGATCCATGCGAGGGATCTGAAGAAGTGAGCACTGCGAACGGCATGCAGACGGAAGGGCAAAGTGCGAGCCTCTCACTTGGCAAAGTCCAAGAAGGGGCCCTATGGGGTGGCAGTCTTGGGGACTGACTGTGCTGACTCCGTGCGAGTTAGATGGGGGAAAATACATCCCGTGCGGACGGGGTTTTAACACTGGCCCATGCGGGGATGTGAAAGCTGATTTCAAGATACGCCTCTTTGTAAGCTTCGTATTTCGGAGCTGTACCAAGGTACTGCTTGGGAGTCTTGTTGAAGAGCCATAGTAGAAGAAGCTTACCCTCCCACACATAGACATGGCAGTGCACAGGCCTGTTCAACCGACACATGTTTTGCCGTCTTCCACAAAGGGTTTGCGAGCTTCCATGTTTCTTCGCCAGAACAAGAGGTGCGGTTCCCCCATTTGAGACAACCTCCAGAGTTGCCGTGGAAGCCACAGAGCCTCAAACCTCACGGTGTGAGGTCGGAGGTTCAAACTTGCAGAGCCAACATGAAAGCTGCCTGGCAGAGGTTTTGGGTATCCTCGGAGCCTTCGGGCTGAAGGGTTGTGCCACTGGAGGTCCGTTGGAGCCTGCCGAATGTACAGACTTGAAAAACTGGGATGGTGCGAACCTTGCTTGTGTCTTTGGCTTATCTTCTGGAGGTTGAACAACCTTGTCCGCAGGATCTGATGAACTATGTCACCAAAGCCAAGGAGGAGGGTAAGCTCAAGGCCCACCCCTGCTGGAGTTACTTTGGGGGGTGAGGAGCAGAGTTGAACCAGGCTTCTTGGGTGGCAACACCTACATTGACTGTTCCCTGCTAGGATGTTTTCAGTTTTTGTTTAATCATGGCGTATGTGACCCCCACTGGTCAAACAGTGCTGGTGAAAAATACATGGTTGCCTGGGCTTGAAGTACTTGGGGATGGTCATGGACCCCTTTCAAAAGGAATCGAGGAATTCCACGATCCCATGAGATCCCATGAAGGGAACTGAAGTTTTGCGTGGCCATGACACATCACCCAAACCCCCCCAAAGGGCTTTTCTGGGGTTTCCGTGCGTGGCAGGCCGCGGCCGATTGTGGGGAGGGGCATCTGCCCAGAGCCGGGCAGCTCGGAGGGCGAACCCCCCCCCCCCGGGGGTTTGGTAGGTTCTACAACTGCGGCCATGGTTTTGAGACTGTTTCTGGATTCGGTCAAGGTCAGTATATGGGGTTGTTTGATCATGATTTAAACACCTGAGGCCAGTGAAACTGTCCTGGTAGAACCAGTCAACTTGGCGCTCACGGGAATGTTTGATCTATGCGGTGAGCGAGCAATGGAACCAACCACTGCTACTTTGAATATAGCCTACTCGCTTGCGTTGAACATCCGCACAGGCTTGGTCGGACCACAGTTTGTGAGTTGGTCTACGGCAGTTTAACAACTTTACCAGCTTATAACTTATTCACCACAAGCTGGCTTGTTTACAAACGTGTTGGTATACTATGTGGATTCAGGTTCCAACCCTGTGCATGTATATGCTCCGCCCGCTATAGACTTCAAGATCACTGACAGCAGTGTGAAAAGGTAGTCAACGGTTTGCTGCTTGCCTAGGTATTCCCTTAGGTGGCCTAGGCTTGATAACACAGGTTATCAGCCGTAAAGGCTTGTACAAAGATCGCCATGGCATCCGGAGATATGCCTGCCATATACAATATATCTGGAGATGTTGGTGACGGTGGTGAAGGTGCAGTTGCATCCAATGGTCCTGTTGACCCTCGCGATCCTCGAAACATGTTTGGATTCGCGACAAACTACCAAGCCACCCAGAACATTATGCATGTGCATAACGACACAGGTGACGCTGTTAGGGAAGAGGCCAACACGTTACATCGCGTTGCTATGGATGCTGCAAGGGCGGAATATAGCGCTCATTTGGCAGAAACTGTGCATCGCCTGGATGAGGAGAACGGCCGCCGGACTCTTGAGCTGCATGAACAGTTCGCAGAGTCCCGTGCTTTCTTCAGCGCCCAGGTTAGTCAGATGCGGGGAGCAATTTCTGCCGAAGTGAATGAAGCTGTGTCGCAAAGAACGGCACAGTATAGCGCTTTCGCACAAAGCTTACATGCTGAGACTGTTGTGGCGGAGAACTCGGAGAAGGCGGTCGGTGAGCAGAGAGACAGTATTTTGGCGGAGAATCACGCCATGCAGGACACGGTCAACGGGCTGAACGACACCGTTGAGCGTCTGAGGAGTGATCTCGAAAGGGCGCAGCGTGAGATGGTGCGCAGAGATCCCCAACCTGCATCAAGTTTACAGAACGTCAGTTCAGAGTCGTTTTTGGATAAGAGGGCCAGTATCTTTGATGATCCGCGTCTTTTTCCAACGCAGAATGCACAAACTTCTGGACCTATGCCTCAGATGATTCCACAGCAGAGTTGGACAGATCCTATTTCTGGTGCAATGCAGTTTGATATCAGTGAGAATGCGAGGCGGTCTTCGGAGCAAGAACGCAGCCGAAGTCAGCAAAACCAGCCGACAAATCAGTCGAATGTTGAACGGTTGATTGGTCCCGAGACCACTGAGGCGGAGTTCCGTGCGGCCCTCCTCGGCTTTGTCCGAAACCAACATAATCGGCCCAAAGCAAAAGAGGCTGATTCGTTGAGGCTGAGTGAGTTTCCAACTCCTGAGACCTACAGAGCCTGGAAAACGGCTACTCGCGAAGAGATTCGGGCTGCATCTGATCGGCCTGACGCTGCATTCACCTGGGTGAACAAGGTGTACGTCAACAGGGAGGATAAGAAGCATCTCATGTTAGAGCTTGGAGATCCAGAGCAGTTTGAAACGTTGGACACAAAGCTTCTTGCAGCCTTGTCCGTTTACGTCAAGTTCTTCTCATGTTTGAACAACATTTCAGAACGAATGAGGAGGCCGGATTGTTGTATTCCACTGAAGATCTGTTGAAAGTGGTGCTTCATGGCAATGATTTGATGACCTTCATTCAAAATTGGGATTCCCTCATTGCTGGCATGAAGATCGTTCCGGAGCAGCACGTCTTAAAGGACATTTTCTTGCGACAGATTCGTGGATGTCACAAGATCAAGTATGACCTCGATACATACGAGCGTGCCAAAGATGGGTCGTATGACAAGAGCTACGAGTTTCTTGTTCAAGCCGTTCGTGATGTTTTGACTCGGGAACGATTGCAGTCAAATCGTGATCGTGTTGCTCGAGCTCACAATCAAAAGGTCGGTGCTCCGGCTCCAAATGCAGATCCTGGGCATGCAAGAGATCCTTCAGCAGTCAAGTATTGCTTCGATTTTCAGAAAGGCAAGTGCACTCGGGACAATTGCATTTACAAGCGTGAGAAAGACCCAAGACCCCCAAGCCAAAATCCGAAAGGGAAAGGTCGGGGGTGCTCTGACAGCCAGGGAAGAGACAGGGATCGGTCGGCATCGAGAAAGAGAGCGGAGCTGAAGAAGATCCCGTGCAGGTTTTTCAAAGGCGGTCAGGGAAAGTGTACTCGAGGTAACAACTCTGCGTTTTCGCACGAGACTCGGTCTGCTGCGCCAGCAACGGATAAGCCGAGCCCAAAGAAAGGAGCCAGCAGAGGTAGGTCTCCCACCCCAAAGGGAAAAGGGAGAAAGCGATCCCAGAGCAAAAAGGGCGAATCCTCAGCCGCTGTGTGTCTGAAGGTGAAAGAGACCAATGCATGCCTCGCAGCATGCCGCCCGAAGCAAGATTTCTGGGAGGTTGACTCGGTTAACGAGATGGTTATTCGACACCATGTGATGCCCCGAAAAGCGCTTTATGATCCGAAGAACGCAAAAGACCTTCCTGTTTCACTGGAATGTTTGTTGGACCAGCGCATCACCAAGCCAACATCAACGGCAAAGAGCAAGTTTTTGGTGATTTCCTGATGAAGGTTTGGAGCAATACTGGACAGGGCAAACAATTTTCATTTGCCGTACAGATGCCTCCAATGCCAGCAGATGCGTCAAATTCGCAGATGATGTCGAGATCGTCGAGATCGAGGCCAACGGGTTGTGCCTATCGTGTGCTCCAAAGCCAAACAATCCCGAGGTGGTATGGTATGACGGTCATGCACCTGGATCAAATCCCATGGACCTTTCCGACGCTATTGACAAAGCTTTGATTTTGGAAGGGGTTATTGAGTTGATGCAGGCAAATTTCAACGCGCCTTGTGGGTTCTTTTGCGATTACCACGATGACAATGACCCAATTTATTGCGGTTTGTATTGTCCTGGTTGTTGGATTGATGATGATGAAACAAACCTTGATGAAGTGCCGGAGTATATTGCTACGCCAGCGCCAGCAGGGCTTCGTCAGTGGATTGTTGACACAGGTAGCGAACAAGACCTGGTTGACACGGAGCGTGCAGTTACACTTCAAAAGAGAATCAATCCTGCATTGACTCCAATCAATCTTTCAACAGCAAATGGATCCATTTGCGCAGACAAGATTGCGGACTTCTCCATTGATCAGTTGAACGAGGTCGTCACTCCGTATGTTTTACCGAGCACGCCAGCTGTTCTTTCCGTTGGTCAAAGATGCTTGGAGAAGGGGTACGATTTCGTATGGAGGAAGAACGGTGCTCCGTATTTCGTGCGACCTGACGGCAAGGCGGTAATATTGAAGCTCGATGGGCGAGTTGCGTATGTAGATGATCAGTGCGAGGTTATAGCTTCTGAATCTGCTACGCCTGTCGCGCTTGCAGCATCCGATCAGAAGATCGGGGGCGTTGGAGAGCCTTCATCTTCAAGCGGGGGGCGACCTTCGCCGGAATGCCGCTTTGTTTCCATTGCGCCCGGATGAAGCTGAACCGCCGGAACCGGAGTTTGATCCGGAATTGGAGGACAACCCTGAGGTTGCTGAAGCTCCAAAGCCGATGTCCAAGCGTTCAAAAGAAATGATGATGCGTGAGGCCAAAAGTGAAGAGCATCTTTTCACTCACAGGCCCAAGAATCCGTTTTGCGAAACATGTGTACGAGCAAAGATGCAAGCACCTCAAGCTCGCCGCAGACATGGATCTTCCTCAGTGGATGCAAAAGCATTTGGAGATCATGTGACTGCTGACCATGTTATTTCAAATGACGAAACGTATGGGTTCAAGGGTGAGTGGAATGCTTTGGTTGTGAAAGATGTTTTCACGCAGTTCCGGTATTTTTACCCTTCAGCAAGGCAAGATGCTGACAGTTGCGTTCGTGCATTTCAACATTTCACGAAGCCAGATGATCACGTTGGAATATTCTATTCTGACAATTCTGGCGAAATTGCAGCTGCGGTGAAAAGTATGGGTTGGAGACATGTCCTGAGCCAGCCATATGTCAGTCAATCTTCTGGGGTGATCGAGCGCGAGATCCGTACAATCCTGGAGGGAGCAAGGGCAAATTTGTTTCAAAGTGGTTTGCTGGTTGAGCTTTGGCATTTGGCAGCTCAACATCATGTGTTTGCTCTCAATGTTACAATTCCAGATGACAAGGACAAGTCGCTGTGGGCTTTGCGTTTCGGGAATGAGTTTCCTGACGCGAAGATTCCATTTGGTGCAAAGTTGTCGTATTGGATCAATCGTCAGCGCGTCGATTCGAAGCAGTCTAAGTTTCTGCCCACTTCGGATGTTGGCATTTTTGTTGGCTATAATGTGCAACCTGGCTTTACCTATACACATGAGATTTTGGTATTGCCGCTCAAGAACTTGCCGGACAAACTGCGGACAGGTGACGTCAATCCCCTCAGAGTCAAGCAGTATGAGTTCAGTCTGCTTGATGAGACGATTGTTTTTCCCGCAAAGCAAGCTATTGCCGACGACAAGCCATGTGATGAATTGGAATATGAGCCGGAGTCACATTTGCAGCCTGGCGAAGCAGCCGTGCCGGAGGCAGTTTTGATGGAATATCCTCCTGCGCCTGCCGAGGGACTTGCTGATCACGATCCTGATCACATGCCACAGTTCCGCCTGGGTTTCAATGGGATGGTTTTCGCTTGGTGAGGGCCCGAAAGTCAAGTCGTCCACCTGGTATTCCATCAGATATGTGGAAACTTGCCTCTCCCAAAGAACGTGCTCGTGTCGCAAAGGAGTATCGCAAGGAGCTCGCGAAGAA